TTACTAAAAAACTTGAAAGTGCTAAAACCCAAAAGAACAAAACGTCGAAAATAATTATTTTTTTAAAAGAAAAAAAATTTTTAATCAATGTAATCATTACGAAAAGAAGTAATTATTCTTTAATTGCGACGCATTAGATGGTTACGTAAAATTTTAGCTGCCCCGATCAATGATGTAATTGTTTAGTCCAATGAAAAATGATAATTGTATTCGTCCAATGGGAAGTGGTGGGGGAAATTAGTAAACCCCTAATGAGTCAAACTACAAAAATTGTAGTATTGGATATTGTAGTTTGTTAACTTTTAAATTTTAATAGTTCATGTTATGCTTCTTATAAATAAATTATGTATATAGATATACAAAAAAATTATGAAATTTTTTGCATACATGTTACTTTTACTTTTTTTTACGGCTAACACAGCTATAACAACTTGATAAAATAATTACAATCCATTGATATTTGGAAACTTGATGTAAAAATAAATATTGGTCATTTTGTTATTAAACAAGATGCAAAACTTTATTGACTCGCATTAGCAAATCAAACAAAAGTTTACAAAACATGATATCTATTAATTATCAGGTTATCAAAAAAAATCCTACGAAAAAAAATGAAGAATGCCAAATATCAGGAAAATAGACAAAATTATTTGCATCGGGTTTCCAATTTTTGCGTATAAAATTGTCAATTTTGATATTGTTAGTTATTGTAAATTTGATAATGCACATGTTTGCAGTCCTTTGTATTATAAAATAGAATTCCGTATAACTACGGATTTGCGCTTATATTTGTTGCTCTATACCATATTATTATATGGAAAAAGCGTGACAAATTTACAGGTGAAAAATAATAGCATGACGGACACATGCGTGAAAAATAAACAAAATTTGACGAATAAGTCATGCGGACCATCAAACTTAAGATTTTGCGGACAAATATCGCTTAAAGCAGCCACGCAAAGTTAATTTTTCGTTTTGCATTACATGGATTTCAAAATTAGGGACGGACGGGCGGATTTTTTTTTTTTTTTGTATTTTTATTTTTTTTAAACTCAATTTATTGCAAATAGAACAATGATCACATTTAAGGTTATATTTGCACAACAAGCAATCAAAAAATCGGGCCAGTAGTCATATTTTTCCTGTAAGTCATATCGGACAATTACGGGAAATTAAGGTCTTCATCAGGTGATACCGGATGAAATAGCGGGGAAAAAATAGATGTCAAAAATAGAACAATTGGCATAATTGGGATCTAAAAAAAAAAAAAAAAAAAAAAAAAAAAAAAAAAAAAAAAATTTTGAAAAATTGAAAAAATGGGACGGCGGGTAATGCAAAACGAAAAATCAACTTTGTGTGGCCTAAACAATGTACTCATTGCATTCGTCCCTGGTATACTGAATATTTGGTGCAAAAATGCAATATATTGACTTAAAAAATTGCGACAGTTACATTAAAGAAATGTGATTAATTAGAAGTATAAGCAAGTTAAAATTAAAATAGTTTATAAACATCATTATGTGGCTATACATTAAGCGATTATAGAGAAACTTAATATTATATAATAAATTAGTCAGAGAAATTATATGGAAAATAAAAATTGTTCTTCATCTTTCAGACTTTTTTTTTAACAGCAGCCATCATTGCAAGGAGCATTAGAAATCCACACAAATTTCACCGTTACATATCAAATAAGCAAAGCAATCAAGTTTAGAAGAACATTTTTCACCGACGTAACAATCACCTTTATTGCCACCAGGAGTACAGCGTTTCATGAGGTTACTAGATCGAACTGCCAATGAAATTTAGAAATTAGAAGAAATAATAAGTAAAAATCAATGTTCTCGAAAATTTTACCTTTGAGAAGAGGCGATCCGTGAACCACCAGGACATGAGCGATACAAATAAGAAGAATTAAAAAGAAAAGGGATTTCATTTCAAAATATTTCAGTTATAAAATCTTTTAGTTAATATGATTTTGAGGAGTGAATTTTTTTAGTCATTCAGGTTACTTTTATCCTTTTATTTTCATTTCTATGATATTCTTTTTGGGATAACCTACGACGGATCTGATATTTTGATCTACAGCTTTTCAAATTAGTGACCAGCAAATTTTATGCATCACACATAGGAGTCACACTAAATTGAAAGAGCGATAATATGAGAAAATCTTAAATTTTTCATGTGGATCTGGGAATCATTTTCGGAAAGCTTTCAAAACAACCAGTGAACCCGAAAATTTTATTTCACGCAATTCAAATGACGATGAATATGTTTGCTTCCGTTTATTCTCACTTTCCCGAAACCCACTTTCCTGAAATATCCTAACCCAATGATTCCGATAGACAAGACATTTATGACAGTCTATTTTTTCAGATAGAAAATTTACTGAATTATCAACAATCTTTTTCACCAACAAAGCTTTTTCTCAACAAAAACTTTTTCTGTCAGCCTTTCCCCGACAAATATTTATGATATATTTTGGTAAACGAGTTTTCAATAATATATTTTCAAAGAAATAGAATGGCAGGAAAATGTATTATTCAGCTAATGACATTTCGATAAGATGGGCATTCGTTTTTTTAATTTTCGGTTAAATAGAAATTGTAGGTAAATAAATGACTTATCAGGAAATTTATAATCGATTAATTATAATTCTAAAAATATGATTTCGAAATCATGACTGATTAGTAAAATGGATTGTCAGTATTATGCTTCGGTTAAATGGTATTTCAGTGAGATTGATTTCGGGAAATAAATCTGTTAACTGCTTGCTTTATAGCGCAGCGGTAATCAGTAAACTAATGTGATCGAGTCTTAACGTAACAGACTACTTATTTTTGTTTTTAAAATATGAACCTAGCATAACCCCACGATAGGTTACGTTCGGAGTTGAAAACGCTTACTGAAACTTAATTTAAAAAAATAATGAAACACAGGCCTTCTCTTATTTCTAAAATTACTTTAAATCATATAACATCAGAAACCTGAGAAAAGGTATTCTGTATCATTGCAGCATTATAGCAGTTTAACTCAATGATAGTATGGCTAGAGATAGGTTTCATGCGTGCACATGGTGCGCATTCATGCGCACGTTTCGGAATCATGCGCAATTTATCCCATCTAAATATTATATAGGAAAATTAAAGTATATATAATTTATGCCAGGAAGCGTATTGTCGGGCGGAATTAAGGAATATTGATGCAAAAGTCTCGAAAAATTCCGAAATGAAAATGAATGAACATAAAAGAAGTGCAAAATTGGGTAAAATTTGAGCACGCATCCGATATTTTCCGAAGGGAAAAATATAAATTCCAAAAATCATATCATGCGATATCATGCGCATGTTATCCATCACTAAGTATGGCATTTTGACAAACGACATCACGGTAAAAATATGGCACTTGCTGTAAACGTATTTAATTTTACTTACAGGTTTTCTTTTGGAAGCACCTATATTAAATTTTGATCTCAAACTTTAGTCGCAAATCTTAAGATATAAGGTAGCTGCGCGACGTCATCGCACAAAATCGGGAACGGGAAAGTATCTATTTATTAAGTGGTTTAAAATTTTAGGTTAGAATTCTAATTAGTCAAATACTTTAATATTGCTCAATATGCACAATATTTATCATTATTATTGTACTGTATTAAAAATGCAGGCCTAATTGGTCATTGATTATAGTTGTAATGCCTTTATTAATAGGAAAAGTTGCATATAGTAATAAGCATTTTGCACGCAAATTATAGGATGTAATAAATTAATTAGCTAATAAAAAAAAAAATTTTCGAATATACATACTAATAAAAAAAATTTTTCGAATATACATACTAATAAACTTAGAATAAAAGGCTTCGAAAGAGGTGTGGAAAGACTTGGCCTGAATTCAATGGTTCCGGATACTTACTGCAGCGATAACGAAGTTTAGATTAGGGCTGTAAAGTGGTCTGATGGACCGCTATTCTGTCCTAGGATCGGGCTGATCCTGCCTTTTTGGAGACATACTGAAAAAACCATCGGCCATAACATCAGTTATTATTGAATCATTGTTATAGATAATTCTAATCTGATTCTGCAATTTTTGCGATATTTGATCTGGCATATTATTAAATTTAGATCATGTACACAATTAGGACTGTTAATCAGTCCGACTAAATCATGTCTTGTGATCTGTCTTAGAACCGGGCCAGTCTGGTCTTTTATAGGACGGACCAAAAAAACTTTCGGTCCTAATACGTATAGCATAAAATTATTGTAACAAACATATATAGCCTAATTTTTTGTGGCTTTAGATTATGAGCACTATTATAATATACAGTATTAATACAAGTGTAAGTAGGGCATGTTGAGAAAGTGGTTACTAAAGACTTCTAACACTAAAATCAACCAAATCACTAAACTAAACTACTAGACAATCTAATCTCGTGCTTTAAGCCACCTGAAATCTTGAGTTGGAAGGCAGAAAGAGGGTATGGAAAGACTTGGTCCGTCTTTCGGGTCTTGTGGTGATGTACTTGGTCTTAGATAAGTATCCTTTATCTTCTTACTACTAAGTCGCTTCGATCGTATCAAGAATTCTAACACTATGATCCCTATATCTTTGATTTACAATGTTTCGCTTCTTTCGGGTCATGTGTTAGATTACTGGCGGATCGGCGATTTAAGTCGAATCTGAGATCCTTAGATCTACGTCATATGTAAAAGATACGTACTACATACTAGAGATGGGACCCGAAACGAAACCTATCCGAAACCGGTTTCGGGTATGTCTAAATCCGAAACCCTTTCGGATTTTTGAAAAAAATCCGAAACCCCGAAACCCGAAACCCCGAAACTATAATCCGAAACCTTTGACCAATCAAATTGCAGGATCAGATGTAACGTGAAAATTGAAATTGCTTCTACCGTATTTTCGCGTAATAACGCGCAGAGATGTAATTTCGAATTTTGGCCCGAATTAAGCTTAATTCGGGCCATTATTCGAAATAACGCTCATGAGCGTTATTACGCGAAAATACGGTAGCTTAAAATTTGGCATGTCTTTTTTTGTCATAACAAAAAAAAATACCTTAAATTTTAGATTAAGGGGTCTTTTAGCTATTGCCCTAGCCAAATCCTAAATTTATTCTAACCCAACCGCTGTTTTGTTTCGATTAATGTGAATCAAAACAAACCAAATGATTGGTCTCATTTGGATCATAAACTTCTTCATCTTCTAAATCTTGAATAAAAGCATTTAACTCATCTTCATTATCTAAATCTTCTACAATTTAATTATTATCTGTATTTAATAAAATTTTCCATATATTTCATCATAAATAGTGCACAGTACATAATTTATAATAAACCGAAATTATGTATACTACACTAAATTAAAATTCAACAGTTTAGGGTTTTGAAAAAGTTTCATATAGGTTTTGGAGGTTTCGGATAGAGTTTTAGAGTTTCGGGTAGGTTTCGGGTAGGTTTCGGATAAGGTTTTGGGTTTCGGGGTTTCGGATGAGGTTTCGAGTTTCGGGTGAGGTTTCGGAATCTATAATCCGAAACCCGAAACTTTCGGATTTGGCCAAAAAGGTTTCGGGTCTCACCTCTACTACATACGTATCTGAAATCAGATCTTCAATTTAGTATCGATGGCACGAGTTTCTGATGTCACGTGCTAATTAGTGATAATAATATATCACGGGCAGTGTGTGAAATTCAAATTTAATTTTATGTTCTCACAAGAACATCCATATAATAGATTTTGAAATTTTTTATGTTCTTACATAAGTGTAACCTAAAATTTTTATGTTCTCAGAGAACATTGAGAACATTGAATTTCACACACTGATCACGGGTATTATCAAGTATATATGTAAGGAGAATTTTATACGAATAGGGTTCTTTTACTTGTTATCTATCTCTATGAGAGAAATAACTACTATACTACTATCGGGACAGAAAATGGTTTTCACTACGAGTGATTTAGGTTAAAGGGAACAATTGTTTGAGGAACAACTTCTACTAAGATGATTTCGAAGTTTTACAACTCTCATCGAGTTCTTTTTTATTTAAGGCGAGCCCAAGGCTCTTATATACTAAAGTTTTACAGACTAAGAAATTGATTCAATAAAATTTATTGAATCTATTGAACTATTGAATCAATTGAATCGATTAAATCAATTTTGTCGATATACTAGCTATAAATGGAAATCCCACTTAGAATACCCGAAAATAGAAAAATAAAAAAAATAAGATAAAAATAAAAATAGATAACCGAGCACAATTTTAAGTGGGTGACATCGAAAAATATGTTGACCAATGAAATTTTGCGAATTTTATGTGGTTAACGTACGCCTACCTTATTTTTGTGTAACACGGACTTTCTATATTAGTCATTGCCGCTTTGCTTTGTTTGTAAAATTTATCCGAAGTCTAAAAAAGAAGATTTACTGTATCACAAATTTGAAGGCGTTGTATAGTCTATTCTCTTGCTCTTGTTACTACGTATAATGACTTTAGATAAGGCTTTAGACCTCAATTTAGTCGTAGTCAACAGAATCAAAAAAAAACAGGACTGGAATTTCTTTGAACAACGAAAGTCTCGTTAAAATTGACAATTATCAATTAATCAGCACAGAAAAAATCCGAAAAAAAAACAACGATAAAGCAAAGAAACTCGTAATGTGTATGTATCTAAAGTAAGATTTCGTAATGCATAATATTTTGATATTGTTTATAAAGCTATACGATTAAGTTTACTCGATAGTTGTTCTACGCTGAAGCTCAGCTCAACACAACTCAAGACGTTGAACATAATCAAGAGACTACAACGCGATAAAAGTTGTGGTACAGAGGTTTGCCTTTTTAATGCTATTTTTCGCTTAAATAAGACAATAACATTAGCAAATCAGTGCAAATTGAACAAAGGGAAACAAAATGAAACAAATTAAGATGTCAAGTTACACGAACACAAATGAGTCGTTTTTTACCGTGTAAAACTGTGTTATTGTGTTAATTACTGTGTTAATTAATGATCATTAATTTTACTACAATTGTGCCGGTTGCATAATTAATTCTCCTGCATCACTAATCACATCCTTGCAATTATTCATTTATCAATACATAATTATTTGGCCTTAATTAAATAACTTATTATAACATCGAATCGAATATCGACGTAACTTAGATTGTTGAAATGGAGAGTGGAATGGAAATGTTTTTTCTTGGATTAGGCTATTTAACTGGATATGGGACTGAAAAGGATGAATATAAAGCTTTCATTAATTTTCAAAAGGCCGCTGAGCTGGGTTATGTCGATGGAATAGTTTCTCTTGGTTGTTGTTATGACGAAGGAATTGGTGTGGAAAAAAACCCACATCTGGCATTTATTAATTTTCAAAAAGCTGCTAAAAAGGATAATGCTAACGCACTGTATTATCTTGGTAAATATTACCGAGATGGAATTGGAGTTGAAAAGGATGAAAATGAAGCATTCAATTATTTCAAGAAATCTGCCGAGATGGGGGGATGACTTTGCAATGACTGAAGTTGGTAATTGCTATGCTTATGGTACTGGAATTGAAAAGGATAAAAATAAAGCATTTATTTATTATCAGAAATCTGCTGAAATGGGGAACGCTACAGGAACGGGAAATCTTGGTTTTTGTTATCTGAAGGGAATTGGAGTCAAAAAGGATGAATATGAAGGATTTATTTATTGTCAAAAGTCTGCCGAGATGGGCGATCCAAATGGAATATGTCTAGTCGGTACTTGCTATTATAATGGAATTGGAGTTGAAAAAGATGTAAATAAGGCATTTATTTATTACCAAAAATCTGCGGAAATGGGAAATTCTAATGGAATGTATAATCTTGGCAATCTTTATTACGAGGGAACTGGAGTTGAAAAGGATGGAGATATGGCATTCTTATGGTTTCAAAAGTGTGCCGAATTGGGTAATACGTCTGGAATGTTTGGCATTGGCAAATGTTATCATAATGGGATTGGAACTAAAAAGGATGCTTCCAAGGCATTTATTTATTATCAAAAATCTGCCGATATGGGAAATCCTGATGGAATGTTTCAAGTTGCTGCCTGTTATTACTATGGAATTGGAATTTAAAAAGATGAATATATGGCATTTAATTATTTTCAAAAATCTTCTGAATTAGATCAATCTTTAGCAATGGTTCAAGTTGGTCATTTTTATTCTGAAGGGATTGTGGTAGAAAAAGATGAACATAAGGCATTTATTTATTATCAAAAATCTGCTGATATGGGTGATGCTAATGGAATATATACTATTGGTTACTGTTATCGACATGGAATTGGTGTAAAAAAGGATGAAAATAAAGCATTTATCTATTTTCAAAAATCTGCTGAGATGGGACTTCCTAACGGCATGTATTATCTTGGCGTGTATTATGATTATGGAATTGGAATTGAAGAAGATAAAAATAAGGCATTCATTTATTATCTAAAATCTGCTGAACTGGGAGAAATGGCCGCGATGTCTATAGTTGGCGATTTTTATCGAAATAGCATTGGAATAACAAGAGATTTAAATAAGGCTAATTATTGGTATAATAGGTAATTAATTTATTTTAATTTTAATACAATAACATCATTTAATATTGTCAAATTATATTTATACATTTTTTCTTGTAAATAAGAGAAAGAGACTGTATAGCAGGTAAATGATTGATTTACAATTTATTAAATATTCATACCCATACATATTAATTTAAATTTTAAGATTATTTTGGTGTTGATAAATCGGTACTCGATAATTCTGACATTGATGACAATCTAAAGAATTTACTGAAAGACAAAAAAAACTTTTTGGTATGGATTCCTTATCGTGAATTTAAGATGATTGAAAAAATAGGAAATGGTGGATTTGCAACGGTATATGGTGCTAGGTGGATGAATAAAAATTTTGGATTAGTAAGTACTGAAACAAATGTTGCACTTAAACAGCTACATGGATCGAGTAAAAATTGTTTAGAATTTATAAACGAGGTAATTTCATTTTAATGTTATTATGGATGGTAATGCTTTTCCATTCTTCAACTATTTTTATAATCAATTTTAAAGTTAAAGCAGTACTGTGATATCGGTTATGATAATCCTTCATTTTTAAAATGCTATGGGATTTCAAAAGATGATATTTCTGGAGATTATATTATTTGTTTAAAATATGCCAAGATGGGATCTTTACGTGACAATCTTAATTCGATCACACAACTAGAATGGAAACAAAAGATAAATTTGTTAAATTGTATTGCTTCTGATCTTCAAATAATTCATTCACCAAATTAATTCACCGAGATTTACATTGTGGTAATATTTTGCAAGATAATCTATATAGTGCATACATCGCAGATTTAGGACTTTCGATACAGACTAATATAGCAATCAAGAAAAATTCTGATGAAATTTATGGGGTTTTACCATATTTAGCACCAGAAGTTCTAATGAAAAAATTATATTCTACGGCATCTGATATGTATGCATTTGGAATAGTTATCTGGGAAATTTTATATGAAAAATCTGTGGCTTATGAACAAGAATCTGGAATAGCACTTCAAATTGCAATATGTAAAGGCTTACGACCAAAAATTGTTGAAAATACTCCAAAATATTTTGTTGATGTAATGGAAAGATGTTGGGATGAAAAACCAGAAAACCGACTATCAGCTACAGGAATCAGTGAAATCTTTGTAGAATGGCGAAACAATAATAAAATTCTATTAGAATTGTCAGAATCTGATATGATTTTAAAAAATCATGAACAAGATGAAGCAATACGTAATAAGACTACCTATGAAAGCAAATTATATTATACTACACCTGTATATGAAGGTAAATACAGCAGTATAAATTTAATTTATAAAAATTTATTTATTAATAGCTTATTTATTAATATTTTATATTATTTTACAGATAGTGGATTGGTTAATTTATCGGTTAACTAGCTAGTATTTATATGATACGTATTTTGTAAGTAATTTCATCTGACCTCATGGCTATGTATGCCTATTGGTCATGTGACTATTACACGGCACAAATATATTAGTTCTTAAAGTAGTATATTTTATCTCTATTATATTTATTATCTTATTATTTTATTATCTTATTATTTATATTAACTATATTAGATTATATAGCCAATAACTTAATATACAGTAATTCATAGTTAAAGAACTATGGTATTACTCTGAGAATTGGCAGTTTAATACTTATATTAATTAAATAAAATCTAATATTATGTCTTTATGCACAGATAAATATATAATTCAGATGTTAAGTAACTTAATAATATTAATTATATGATTTTTGTAAAGAGATTTCACAATTAGATATATGTATTTAATTTTACTTGTTATATATATATTTGTAATGTGAAATCAAACGTCACATCGAAAGTACATATGTAATTGTTAACCTACCGTAAATGGCCATATAAAGACCCCGTTGATTTTTTATTAGTAATTTATATTTAACAAGAAGAAATCCACCCATTACTTTACTCCCTCTGAACAATATACCCCGGGTATAATTCAAGATTTTTAATGGTGAATTGGTCGTTTATATGGCCATTTACCACACAAAAAATGCACGATAGATCATCGATTTTGATTGGCTAATAGCGACGAACAAAAATTAGGCCGGAATTACTCGGAATTTTACTAATGAAATCGCAGCCGCCCATCAAGATAAAATCGTTCCTGGGTTATAGTTGTTAGACGAAACCTTGAGGCTTCGCGCTGACGAAACGCGAAACCTAGTTTCGTCTTTCGTCAATTAAAATCTCAAATGACGAAATGACGAAAGGTGACGAAACTGGCGAAAGGTGACGAAACTGACGAAAGGTGACGAAAGGTGACGAAAGGTGACGAAACTGCAAAGGGTACAAAACTAATAAAAGATGAGAAACAGAAGCAAGTGTAAGTAAGGGCGCCACTGGCTCCTACATTTATGTTCATATAAAACTAAAATTTAAAACATACAATTATATCAATTTTAATAAGTAACTTAAGAAGTAATTTGTTAATTAGGCAAATTAGCACAATTAAGAAAATTAACAATAAATACATGGATTATTCGACATATTTCTGTATATTGATATCAATTAAAAAAATTATTACGCCTATTAGCTAAATCAATAAAAGACTTTATTAATAAATTAGTACAGATAATAAAAATTAATAAGATGTACATACATTGTTTTCGGATCTTCAATTATAAACTATTATTATGCTTGACAGTTAATGTTTCACTCAAAATTGGTTTCATTTCCAAAATTTTTCGGATTTATTCCAAATTCCGAAATCAAGATATAAATCTAATAAAATCCAATAGTTCCGATATTATCCGAAATTTAAATATTATAATAATTGATGCGAAGTTTACCTATCCTATTCAACAGACTATTTTATGTCAATTTGAATAGCTTATTTAAATACTGTTGAACTTTCCAAAGCAGAACCGATCCTGTCAAAGTTGGCAACCTGTAATCTATAAAAAGTTTATCTGTAAAATCTGGTTCTGCTATATGAAATCTAATAGTTTATAATGGTTTCAGATTTGATGACCTCTAAATACTGAACAAAATCTGCTCACCAAGCATATCGGCTTTAAGAGGTTTAACAGTATGTATTTAATAAAACGTTCAATTCTTTATTGGGATACATTGAGATTCTAGTTATTTATATATATATTCGAAGTGCATTAATGATTTTATGCATATTCATGAATTTAAATCTTCTGAAACCAATGCATAGTGAATAGCTTTGTATTAGTATTAAGAGCCCATTAGATTTGAAATAATTATAAATTATTAGATTTATATGATGGCAAGGGACTTGGTATATTAATTTCTTATTAGATTTCAATTTTGATGGAATTGGTTTTAGGAAGTTCAACAGTATGAATCTAATAGCTTATAATGTTATCAAATCTGATTACTTCTCAATACTGATACAAGATCTGTCTATTATGCATATCAGTTTTTGGAGAGTTAGCAGTAGTTGAAACTGAGTAGTAAGGCTTCTTGCATATTCAATTATCTGATTAACGGAGTTTTGAGTACATGATTGGAGCATATTTGAATATACTCAATTATAGCTTCAGACTCTTTAAATTAAGTCTATAATATGGGTAATTATAAACATTTTAAAAAAATTGTATATTAAAAAAATTAGTATTGCCTGAATTTTAGATTTGGTAAAATATTTATATAAAAAATTTAATAAGTGGTCTTTGAGAAAGTTAATAAAAATTATAAGTTACAGTATGTTATAAATTATTAATTTTTTAAAATAATATAATATAAAAACTTACAGAATAACAAAAATATTCTTGTTTATATTTTATGGGATTTATTTTATAGTGCTAGGGCATTTTAACCAATTAAAATTTAAGATCAGGTGTAACATGCAGATTAGCTTTGTGTAACAAAAATAAAGAAATTTTTAAAAAAACCATTATATCTCAAAATTTTGTATCTTTTGAGCTTTAATAAAAAAAATTTCTTGCTAAATTTTACTATAAAAACTATCTAACCCTAACCTTTAACCTTTACTCTTACCCTAATATTAAATAAAGTTGATTTTTGTTTTGTTAAAAGTTGTTTTGATGTACATGTCACACAAGTTTGCTTATTACATATAGGGTAGCATCGAATGCTATAGCACTATAATAATATTCCCATATTTTATTATATATAATATAAATATAAAAAATAGTTTTTTAAAATATTAAATTTTACTTACTAATCATCATCAGCCATTAATAAATCTTTTGGGTTCTAATTATAATCTTCAGGCTCAAAAGTTTGATTTTTTCATTATTTTCTATAGGTTCATTATTTTCTGATAAATAGTTATTATCACTATCATTATTATCAGGAAATTTTTCCAAATCATCAATAAAAATTCGATCATCTAAATCTAACCCTTTTTCCAAAAATAAACTTTAGTTTTTATATTACTTTGAGATAAAGAATCTGAATCTGAATTTGATTCTAAATCATTATTAAATAATATTTCTTTATCAAAGCCTTCTTTTTTTAAAGTTTTTTCAAATGTTTTACTATTTGTTTGCTTTAATATTTTTAATAATTCCTCTTTAGTCATTTCATTAGCAAAGTATGAAAGTTCTTTTTTAGCATTAAAATTATAAAAAGTGCATAATTTTGCTATAGTTTCTAATTTTCAGTACTAAGTTGAATATGTTTGTTTCTAGTTAACCAAGAAGTAAAGAAAAATTTCTTTCACAAGATGTACTATTAGGAGTAATAGCTAAAATTTTTAATGCTATTTCTTGTAAATAAGTTGGCTCAGGTTCTAAAGAATTCCACCATAATAATGGTGTATCATGTCCTTGAGTATTGATACATTATAAGGATATTTATTTTCTTTATATAAACGAAGATGGGCTGCTATAATATCACCACTAGTATTATTATTATTTAATTTTTGCCATATTGTGTCTACTATTAAAATAATTCTAGAAAATTGCCTTTTTTAAATCCAAGATCTAAATTATAAAATTAATAAAATAATTAATAATTAAAATAGTTTATATTTAAAATATACTTACTTTGAAAATTTGATGTTAAAAATCATCATCAAATTCTTTAAATCTTTTGTTTATAATTCTAAAACAATATCTATGAAATTTGGGTTGTTGATGAATTGGTAATTTTTTAATTGCAGCAGCAGATTTTGCTAAGCTTAAATAACAATCACCAAGATTTGCACATTTGCTTTCTAATAATAAAATAGATTTTTTTAAAGGTAATAAAACAAAATTTAGTATTTTTAAATAATTAAAAAAAGTATATTAATTAATAATATTATTAATTTGGTTATTTGTTAAAACATTATCTTCACAATCTAAAATAAATTAATTATAATTAAAACATTTTAGTTAATATTTAATATAAGTAGATATATATAATTAGTATAAAATTATAATTTA